AAGACTATTGAGATTGACTTTGTTATTGCACATACTGTTCTCTGCACATCCGTTTTGACGTGAATGATATTGAAAGAAATATTAACTACACTTTTGTTGTGGACATTTGCTAAGGATCACAAACTATGTTTTAATTCTGTGTGGCTCTTAGTTAGCCCTATTTTTACTACAAATAATAGTTGCAGAACTGCCAACGTAAAGATTTTTACAAACACATTAAGCAACACCTATCGTTTGAAAGGCATTCTAAATATTTGTGCTTTGACTTGAGTCCTGAGTTTCCTAATAAAAGACATATTTATAATTTGATGTTGAAGACTAGAGACACGATTTACTATTTTTAAACATACTTCAGGTAGCGAATGCCATGCCGATACTGTCGTTCTTGAGGATACCTACATAGCTTATATTAGAACAATAACGAGATACAGTTCTCGAATTTACTGCTGTTCCTCAATCGCGAGCTTTCAAAAACTTCTAAGATTTCAGCTGAGTACTACTTTGCTTCATAACTAGCCTTCCTAACAACTGTCCAAATAAAGTAGTTCTCTGTGACCCGGATTTTCAGGCTTTGAGTTTTGGGAAAAAATTCTAATTTGGGGAAGTTTTATAGCAAACTGCATACTCACAATAGAATCCTCACAATAGAATGTCAAGACAACTGAAGGGTTGGCATTGAAATAAAAGGAAAGCCTTTTCAGTTATGCAGACTCTTCAAATTTTATATTCAAAAATTGTGGAACAGCTTTCATTGAAACTCTCTGTCCACTCTTCTGAAGATCTGAGTGGTGTAAGACTCCATACAGAATTTTTAACCTTTTGTTCGCAAGAATTTAGATTCTCCTGACTGCTTCAGACATTAGTTCTAGAAAAATGATTACACTCCAAAGGATACTACTGTTATTTTCTCTAAGAGTACAACTAAAAGTGAGCAGTCTCTCTTGCTATGAGAGCTGTACTTTTATCAGATCTCAAAACAGAATTGTTCAAATTAAGAACAGATATGAAGTTTCCAAAGAAACACTAGTTGCCAAAGAACGTAATCTGTACAGAATCTACTTAAAAGACTCCATCGACTGGACATTTAGACTGAATGTACATACATTGCGCCATTTTTCCAATCAATGTGAATTAAAATGAAACTAATTAACCTCTTAACTGTAACCTAGTGAGAAGAAATTCTGCGCAACTAAGTTTAATTGGGGCTAAGAATTCGATTTCTAACAAACTCGATATTACATCTTCTAAAGGTTTCAAGCAAAACTGGCGAAGGTGTTGCCTGAGTGCTTGATATATTTTTTGGTACATATCGATAGAAAATATGTATATACCCTAATCTTTAGCATATTTATCGTGTATAAGTATAGTTGAAATTCATTTGGCTAAAAAGAACATGTGACTTAGATAAATGGAGTTGTAATAGCTATCTATAATCTGTATAACTGAAGTTTTATTGTAGTTCATTAGAATGGAGGAAGCGATAAGTCACTAAAAACCAATTTAGACATTGGAAAGCTGAAATTAGGAAAAAATTATGCATTTTAATAAGCCAGAGCGACGCGGTTATCATTGCAAGTTTTTATTTATGAATCACTTTTAAGCTGCTTTATTGTTACAATTCAAATTTTCCTGATTCTGTCATTGGTTCAGAAGTATAACGAAATTTATCTAAAATAAAACAAACAGCAATGTGATTATGATTAAAATACCACATAGTCGTTGTATATTTTTACGCATTGCAATTGGAATGCAGTTCTTGGGAACTTAATGAATAATTCAAATGGGTTAAGATGTATAAACGACTTGGGTGGTCGCCTTAAGTTCTACTGAAGTTTGTTTTTTAAGTAATACTTAATGAGGAAGAATTAAAAGCTTTTATTCCTGCAGTTAACGTTTTTTTTAACTTGTTGATAGCTATACTACTTTTCAGTGATGCGTATATTGTTATTGTTAGGTGTAACTAAACTTGGGTTACATTTTTATTTTGAACTAGAATTACAAGTGCACTTAAACACTTTTCGCCACTTTCTCTTTTAACTGGAAATATTACAAATGGTAATTTTAATAAATATTTTAGTCCCTGGTGCTTTCTGTGTCGTTGTTTAATTGAAACACTGAATATATAAGTAACCATGGCAGTGATAATTTACTCTCGTGAGTTCAAACTGTTCATATTGGTTAAAGAGAGGAATATAAAGGCTGTATGTTTAAAATATTCACACACCTAATCATTGCTGTCTATTTGTTGTACTTCCATCTATTGCACCTTTTTACAAAGCGAAAAATAGTGGCAATTGTATAATGAATAGCACTATTTTGCCTCTTACGTTTCCTCGCATTCATCATTTTTTGCGTTTATACATCATTCCAGTAATTTTGAAATTATATTGAAAAATATCTCTGTTTTTATCTTGAAATTTATCCATTGTATATTTGCCTATCATGCGACTTTATTTAAGCATTATTTTTCATTTCTGTCGTGGCATTTTTAAGCACAGCATTTTTAAGTGCATGGGAGAATAAAAACGTTTTAGAGGAAATTTAGTTGTTGAAGTTGTCTTACATAAAAAAAGATATTCTTTTGCTTTGTCATATTAAGTATAATGTAGAGAAAGTTTACGTATGATTCATATTTTCTCAATTTTAAACACTTTGAAGTTTCAGGTTTTATGAATACGAGCAAGAGGACATTTATCAATCTCACTTAGAAATGAAGTCATTTAAGCAGCAGAAAATCACCCAAAGACATCAAAAAGTATTTTTAGACATCAAAAGGTAAAAGGTATTAATATTCAAGTAACTGAAATCAAATTTGGAAAAAATGTAAATTGAAAAATGAGAATTTCATCTGAAACTAATATTGCGATTTTGCAACGCATTCAGTGAAATAATCTAGAATTTAAAATTGCAAATAACTCGAGCTTCTGAGTTATCCGTCAGCCAATCACTTAATTAAAAGAAAATCATCAAAGCTCAGAACTGAAAATTTTTCAGCTTCTTTAGAATGGCTCAAAAATTTAAAGCGCTAGAACAAAAGGTCTTACTGAAGAAAATGTAGCTGTTGAATAGTCAGTATAAACCTGAGAATGATAGACTTATCCATCTTAATTAATAATACAACATTAAAAAAACTTCAGTTAGATGAAAAGGTGTCATTGACAGAGTTTTGTGACATAAAACATTAGATTTCAAGAGGAAAGATTTGCTACTATCACAACTACTTTGCTTCTATGTTCCAACGCCGGGAGAATGAAAAAACTTAAACCTTATCAGAAAATCTTCGAAACCACGCTGTTTCAGAAACTCAAAGAAATTTCCATGCTCAGATGTAAATAGCAAAAAAAGTGTAAATGATATCTAACATTTTGTGAATTGATAGAATAATGATGTAAAATAAATATTTGTGGATATTTCTTTTACATCATTTACATCATTATTCTCATACTGATGTGATTTTCCATCACTGACACATATAGATGTAATTTTCTCATAAACTGCTATCAGCCAATATCTCAGGATTACACAGTCAGTGAATCATAAGATATCACAGGAAAAATTTAATGTGAAGTGTTTCTGCTACCGAACGGGAAAAAAAGAATGTCAAGTTTCAATCCTGAAGCAAGTCCATATACTTGCTGATTTAGGAGAAAGTTGTATCTCAACGACGTATAATTATTTCGGAAAAGCAATTTATTTTAATTCGAAAGATGGACAAATCATTCGAATAATCGTCAAAAGAAAATGAAGTATAAATAGATTTATAAGGGAAAATCAAGTAGTGTAACTCACTATTTAATCACTTTTCAAGATTTTGTCCATGATATTGATTTTGTTTCCATGTTGATGAAATCTGTTAAAAGTTTTAAATTAAGTTAGTCTGCTACGAAATTGTGGGTGAAGGAGATGAAGATTGTTATAATGATTCATATAGATGAAGATGAAACTGCTTTTCAAACTATTTCATGTTTCACAAATATGCTGAATTTCGCAAACTCTGAGGAACTCTCTTCAAATAACAAAAATGACACACTTGAACTGGCAAGTTTTGGTATAGAAAATAAACGAAAGAAAATGTATATTAATAACTTTTTTCAGACGCCATATTTGGCATTTTGTAATAAAGTATGTGCCGCCCAGCCGGTATAGTGGTTAGCGTCTCTGACAGCCGTGCCGAAGAACCAGGGTTCGAATCTCGGAGAAAACATGGATGTTTATAAATGTATAGTGCCCGTGCGGCATGACGGCACTCCAATTATACGGCGAGTTGAAAGTCCTGTCGTGTGGTTTAGAGGAAGGGGCTGAGCTAAATCGCATTGTCACCTGTAATGTGCTCAAGGCGAATTTTGCTCTCCTCGCCACGAGGAATTTCGTGGGCTGGTGTTACTGTCCGGCAAGTGAGTATAAGTAACAACAACAACAATAAATTATGTACATTTAATTAATGTAAATTTTGTGCCTTAGGTTTCAATTTAAATCAAAATATAATAACAAATTTAATAAAAGTTATGAGTACTACGTATGCTAGTGTCATAATTTCAGAATTATAAATTTCTATCATTTATGACCCCAAAGCGTTCACTGACTAATGTAGTATACTGATTTGCCAGTGTGAAAATTACCACCGCATGATTTTTTAAATCCTCTAAGAAAATGTATTATATTCGGTTAAGATACCAAATCCCTCTTTGGAAAATTCATACCGACGATCATGTCTCTGAAACATGTGAAACATTTAACGGTCGAAAAGGGAGTAAACCTAGAAGTAACTCTGCAAATACTGCCTATAAGCGAAACATAAGATTTTGAATTTATCTTCCGCCGACAATCTCATGGTGTTGTTATTGGAGTATTATTACTGGGCGAAGTAAAAGATCTTTAATTTTTCTTTCCAATTTATCAGTTACTTTCTCTAGAACAGAGGAATTCAATAGCAAATAAGAACACTTCTAAAAAATTTTAATCTTTTTTAATAATGTGTAAGTTATTCTCTCCCTTCTTACCTTTTCTCCCTCCTTGGGTGTAACTGGAAAGTATAGCTGGCTAGCAATGAGAAGATCCAAAGTTCGAAGTTCGGGGAAAGTAAGGCATATTTTTCATGTCTTCTGCTCCGAAATAAAATCACTGCAAATAAGATGACTACTTTAAAAATATATTTCCTTTATATAAATTTAAAATACAGTAAATTAATTACATATCCAACCGGTAATTTTTATGGACAATTTCAGTTTTATTGTAGAAAAAAATGAAAGATAATATCTAAAAGAACATAAATAAAAAATGACTCGATATGTTATGTGATTGGAATAGAATCATCTTTTCAACAATTTTATTATGTTTGATATTTTAATAGTGATCTCAAACTCAAATTGCATGCGAGCCGAATGCTCGATGTGAAAGGAACTGATTGGGCAGAACAATTTTTAGCAATATTGAATATCATTTTAAAACAAACAAAAGAAAAATTTTACATTTAAAATTTTACCTATGGAATATTTATCACTACATACATAAAAATTATAATAACATAAAGGAGAAAATTAAAAATTTATGTTTATTTTCTGCCTGAAATCTAAAGGCTTGTAACCGAAAGAAATATATGTTAATTATATTTTTTACTTCAGATGTATTTACAGCTAAATGTTAAATTTTAGATTGGTATTCATGTCAGGTAACTCCGATATGTTGAATTTTACATTACGCCGAAAAGAACGTTTTTTTTTAACGTTTTGTGGGTTGCCTTTATTTATTAAATATCATGTTCTTCGCACTTAAACCATAAAATTCAGTTCAACAGCAATATCGCAAAATAATTTTAAAATGAGCATATCTTTAGAATTTCCGATACACACAGTCTCACACGCTGGAAATATTTTTTTTTTTTTTTTTTTTTTTTTTTGTTACAGTATGGCCATTGCTCGCTTTGAAATCGTTGAGTTTGTTTATCAAAAATTCGTTAAAGGTTTACAAAATACGAAATAGATAATAAAACAAATTCCAAATTCCAAATCTGGACTTCCAGATGCCCATATTCGGGTGGAAACGTACGTTATTCAAAGTTTGATGGCTCTAGGCACCGTCGTTTTCTCACAATGCGAGTAACATACATACATTTATGCAGATTCTTCTTTATTTAATTTCTTTAAATATAATACAAGGCTGTAATATTTTGTGGTAACAGTTTAAAAGTGAACCGACATTTAAAGTTTTCAACACAAAATGCCGAAACGAAACTCATAGCCCTTCTGGGCTAACGCCCTTTGGACTAATAACCCGAAAAACCCGAACCTGAAAACCAGGGTGTAGAACCATAGTCTACTGATTTTATCATTTTTTCTTTAATAGCTGCGGCGCAGGTAAGCTCAGTCCATATCTTCATGTCTTTAAAATTAAGAACCGTAGTCGCAATAAATACATAACTGAAATATATTCACGTGTGGCATAATATTGCTTCGGGGGCCACGAGTTTGCAATCACAATTTTAATATCTTTTCAATGTATAAGGTTCCTTTATGTTAATTAACCTGTTTTTTATATTTTGAATCTTTACTGTCACTTCTCCCTTCCGTTTTCTCTCCAAAATGCAGATTTAGTTCGCGTGTATTTAAGCTGAGGTTTTTAGATTGTAAGACTGAGCGTATTTTGTATCTCGTCATAGGTGATCGACTGAGCTGTAAGCACAAAGTGTGCCTTCTGTTCTTATTTAGCTTTAAATAAAGGGTATTTTACACCATTCCTAAGTTTCAGTTGTTACTTTAAGCTTAGCGATAATTCGCTTAACGTCTACGAAGAGTTTGGACACTTGTAATGTTATTATTCGGATATCGATTATCGAATTGTCGAAATCTCACCCGTTTCTGTACGAAAACATGGAAATATTTTGCTTATAATGATCAATAAGTCGGTTAATATTATCAAAATATCATAGGACAGATATTTTAAACTAAAATGAAATATCTAAATAAATGTCAAAATAGCTTATAAAAATTGCCAAATGACAGAGAAATGTTTCCAAGTAAGGAATTAAGTCTACATTAATGCTTGTCTTTGATTTTAAGCAATCGTTTAAAATTAGGCAAAAAAGCAACCTTAATTGCAGATTTTAAATAATTCTCTGGAATGCGAGGGCGATTAGACACTTTAACACTTGCCGGAAAAAATTAATTAGTAATGACATTTTCCTTAATGAAAATGACTTGAAAGCAAGTGTTTATATGTTTCAAGTTCCATTTGTATTAAATTAGTCAAATTCCATTTTTATTTTGAAAAATACTTTGTTTCCATCGTTTAATGTCATCATTTGCTAAGGCGATTGAAAAAGACCTTTCTGTGCCAAATAGCTGAATTTTGAACTCGAAGGAAAGGGTTTTGAATTTCAACAAGCACTGGCAAATCACGTCATTCCTTTTTTGAAGGAATAACTTGCTGCGATAGACTGGAATTGAATACGAAATATAAGCAAGTATGTACACTTTATTAATGTATACGAGTGCACTATCAGCGTATATCAATGTATACACTCACTGTGTATATCAATGTATACATTCACAGTGTATATCAATGTATAAAGCATATCAATATGTACAGTACATCAATGTATGCCTCTAATAATGAAAGTTTAAAAATTTTAAATTTATTTATTTATTTGTTTTAAAGTTTATTATTATTTCTTTTTTGTATTTACTATGATTTGAATAAACATATGTTTGTCCTTCCATTCCCGTTGCGTGTAAGCACTAATATTTATAATTATTAATTTTTTCCATAAGCAGTATTATAACTTCCCAAACCATAAAAATACGTGAAATGTTTTCATTCGAATTATTAAGCTATTCTTAAGCAAACGAAAGGTATATTCCAGGAAACTTCTTAAAGAAACTTAATGAAATGGCCAAAGTGAATTTAAAGAAATTATAGGATAAATGAAGTAATGAAAGAAGAATTTAATGGTGGTATTTTCATAAGCTGGCTGAGAAATAGCTTGATTAAAGTGTAAAGAACCTTTTAATGAATCGCACTAAAGAAACATTTACAGTGCAGTCAAGGTTATTGAGAAACAAAGGTCTTTGTAGCTTTAAAACTTGATCTTTAAACATAAGTTTCAGATTCCATAGTTTCTCAAAAAGAAGTATGTGACAAAATAAGATGCAGGATTTTATGAAAGCAGTTTTACTACTCTGTATGGGGAAAATTTTGTAAAAAAATTTAACTTTTTGTATGATTCCAATTGAAAAAACTTATCCTTCTTATATGATTGTATTGAGACATCAAATCTCTATCTTCCGCCTTTTTTCGATTTAATATCACTGATAAATGTGCTTGGGCCTATTGAAGGAAATAGACTTATATTGGCCAACTGAGATCGACTGAAAATTCACTATCGAAAGCGGAGAGAAAGTAATGACACGGTTAAAACATTTGTTTATAATTCGAATACGCGTCATTATCAAAAACAGTTCAGTTGTTGTTTAATATGAGAAAAATCTGCACACATACCTTATTTGAAAAACTGTACCACAGCTGGTTGGAATATCTGAAACTCTGAGGCCACGTGGTGTGTGTCTAGGGCAAAGTTTTATTTAGAGAACTTCTTCCGCTTTTCCCATTTACCTTCTCAGCACCCGCTGACAAATTCAGCGTTGATATAAACTCACAAACGCTTGTAGTAGACCGCACAAAGCACTCTTCAATCAAAAGCTCGTATTGTTTTTCTTTCACTTTCTGTGGCTCATAAGAGACGATTAAGATCTAAAAACTCCACTCAAGATTTACTGCATTCTGGCATTTCCAGCCAAGAAAGAAATGCCAGATGTAAGTTTAACCACAGAATTACCGTCTCAACAGAAATGGCCAAGAACGCCGCGATACGTATGTAATCTGCGAGGACTTTTGACTGACAATAGTGATAAAATTCAGAATTTTTATTAACAATTATTCTACACGGGTTTCATGCTTGCAAAAGGTATTATTTTAGATATCGCATAGTGAAGGCATTACACAGGTGGAAACTGATTTTGATGCTTCATATAACAGTCCACAGTTTATTTTGGTGAAATATGTTTCAAAACAGTATTTCGAATTTCTATGCATGTAATCTTACATTTGATCTCCATGTTCTTCAAAATTATTTGAAAAGGTAGTTTTGAATGTATATATTTATTTTTTCAAATATTCGTAGCCCATGCTTATAACTATTACAGAAAACATTCCTAAACAGTAGTTAAAAAATATATTGCATGGTTGTAGAGACATTAGGTATTTAGGAAGCAGGCAGGATGAAAAATTATCGGGAATCGAACCACGGGAACCCTTCGCCGGGAATCGAACCACGGACCTCTGGAATACCGGCCCAGCGTGCAGAACCACTACACCACCAAGGCACGCCAAGGTGGGAGAAATACCTTACATGGTCAGCAGCGCTATAACGCTTCTTTAAATTGATTCCTGTAATTGAATAAGAGATTTGCAAACTTTATCAATTGAAAACTATTAATTTCTTCTTTTCTGGCATAAAATCTTTCCTCTTTAATAAGCGTCTTTAAAGCTGTCTTAGTTTAGCCTAATGTATATTGAACTATGATGTTATAAATTCAAGAGTTCCAATCTGATGTAGCCATTTTTAGAAATGAGTCACAGATTTACTAACTGGAAAGAAAATAAGCTGGAATTTGCAGTTCAAGATAATCCAGAGTATTTGGTAACACAGAAATTAAAAATAGAAATGCATCAAGAATCATGTGGTCTTCGCTTAAAGAGAAAGTAAAACATCTTTAAAGTCTCAATAGTTACTCAAGGAGAAAGCTTTTGTCAGTACAGCCAGTTATCAAACAACTGAATTCTCATATGAAATAAGATTGGGAAGAACAAATATATAACATGTGAAAACATAATGAAATGCGTTTCTGCTTATCAAATCGATAAGATCTGGCATGAGAAGGAAAGCAAATGAAAATTTCCAGTAAATTAATGGGCAAAAATTAAATTTCTGTTGTTTCATTTGAATGCCCAAGAAGGAAGTTTGGAAATTCACATTCAAAAGACAACTAAGTGACAGATTCTATGGAACTATAACTGAATAAGGTATTTTAAATCACGTTCCTTACCATAACAATGAGAATGTGGGG